AAGGATTGAACCTCCATCCTTTCCTCTAAGAACCATATCCATTAACTGGGAAATGCCTCTTAAGCTGCAGGTGCCAGTTTCACTGCTATTCCTGTAGATGCACCTGCATTTCCAAAGCCATGGCAAGTGTCTGGGAAAGCTTCAGCCAGCAGTATCCTGAAGGCTCCAGTAAATTGGCAAATGAATGCCAGAAAGCTTCTTCTAGAATTCTCCCTCACTTTAATGCCTGCTCAGAATTACTTTTGTTAAAGTGTAATATTAAGATGAAAAAGTAGCTAGGAAATCTTCAAAAAAATGCCATTGTTTAAATATTGTTTAAATTTACATGTGTGAAACTAGAGGCCTGGCAAGAAATTTTTACTGTCCATCAAAATGTCATCACAAAATTTGTTTTATTAACTTCTGTATATATATCAAGCAACTGGCACATGGCAGATAACTGTCATGAAGCTCTGTACCTGTACAAACATTTTATCTTATTAGCAGATAACTTGTGCAGAAGCAAGTGGATAGTTAAGAATTTTGGCCTTTGAATATCTACAAAGGCAAGTAGCAGCCAACATGTCTGGACCATCAAGATCAGAATGAACCACATACTTTATTCAGTCCTTACCTGATTAGTAAGTGTCTGCTGTGCTTTGTAGCTCCAAATGCACAGTCAAGGAAAAAACTTTTTTGTCTAATGTATAACAGTCTGTGCCATTCAAGACTGGCTTCTTTAACCCATAATCTTCTTTCAAACATTCAGTTTCCTCCTTTTTAAAAATATAATCTCAGATTGACTCCAAACCCATCATGTTGTTGCATACCATCAAGTCAGAACCCATATGTAACTGACCCTCCGGAAGGGGTTTTCAGTGACAGTTAATCTCATGAGGGGAGATTGTCCATCCTTCTCCCTTGGAGCAACTGGTGGATTTGAACCGTGTGCCCTCAGGATTGCCACACAGCTTCTTGCCACTAGGCCATAAAAGTGTTATGAGAGACATTTAGAGATAATTTTAGAGATAACTATCTAGAGATAATTTAGAGATAATTATCTAGAGATAATTTTGTAGAAAGTGCCTCTACAAAATTCTATATCAACCTCCATAAATGATTTTTCAATCTTTGCTTTAAACACTGTCAAGGATGGAGTGCTCACATTAACTATACAACACTACCGACTAGCCTTTTAACAGTTACAAATACTGGTCTATTGACCAAGAAATGTACTTTCCTCTTCTTAGATCCATTTCTTCTTTGGAGTCTCAGGGGGAACTCTAATCTGTTTTCTATGTGATAAATGTTTACATTATTTTGAGATTATCATTGTGGAAATAAATGAAAACCACGAAATGAGAACCCTGAACAACAGATCTACCCGATCTTATCCTGTGAAATCCTCACCATCTCTTTTATACTCAAGCTCATTGCTACAGTCACTATGTCAGTCCACCTGGTTGAAGATCTCCCTCTTTCCCTCCTTCCTTCCACCTTCCTAGGCATGATGTTCCTCTCCAAGAATTAGCCTTTCCTAGCAACATCCCCAAAGTATGCAAGACAAAGCTTTGTCATCTTTGCCTCAAAGGAACACTCTGGCTGCACCTTCTCCGAGACATACTTATTTATTCTTTTGACAGACCATTGGACATTCAGTAATCTTCTCCAATACCACGGTTTTAAAAAGGATCTATTCTTCTCAGATGTATAACAAGTGACTGTGCATAACAACAACCTAGCCTATTTTTCATAGAGCAACATTGGTATGTTTCTTCAAGTCCTTTTTATTTGTATACTAAATAAACATTGGAAACACTACTCAGATTGTTCATTTACATAAGAAATGAATGAATAATGGCCCCTGTTAGAATGCCCACATAATTACAAGTGGCTTCTTTTTAGTTTCCATTTTTATTTTAAGTTGCTTGCAAAGTTTGTATACATTGTGTTTCACACTATCCTTCATTCACATTGTATTTCATCCTTCTCACTAATTATTTTTTATAAAATTAATCATCATTGAACTATTCCCACAATTATCCTATCTATGTAATTTCCTAACTATGTAATTTCTAGCCTTGGTGATTTATATAAGTAGGTCTTCTGTGCAGAGTCATTTTCAAATATTACTAAAATTTGTATGGTGTTAATCTGAAGCAGACAAGAATGAAAGCTGTTTTTTATGATGGCTTTGGGTTGGCTATCTAGTTCAACAATCAGATTCTTGTAGAGGATGTCTGAGTATTCTCTGTGTAAGGTCTACAGTGGTATAAGCTTCCAATTTTGCCTATTTTGAATCACTTTCCTTGGAGTTTTACGTCTTATTTGATGTTAATAGTACCTATTAGGATTCCTTCAGATAAGATCCAGGGAAAATTATCTTATCTGATTTATATTTCAATAGAAGACGTCTATTGGTTTAAAGTGATGAAGAAGCTTCTTAACAAAGCAACCTTAACCTACCTGTGATAGAACTGGGCATTACAGATGAGTCCTCCACAATATTTTGTTACACCTGTCTGCAGCACAGGACAGTTATTTATCAAGAGTAAACTTCATAAACATGAAGACCTTTTAACTACGAGTTCACAGGGCAATAAGCAATGTGGGCTATACCCCACATTCAAGGCTTGGTAGGTTGTCCAAGAATTTTTGAACTTGGAAAATTTTCTTTTTTTTAATTATCACAATTTTTATTGATAGATATAAGTATATAAAATCAGGTTATGAACTGACTTGATAAATTAAGTAGACTTAATTTCAATTCTATAATAAGAGGGACCAATTAAAAGTCTCACCATTTGTTTCACACCCACAAAAACCACTTCAGGGGCATTGACGATCTCTCAAAACTGATCAGTTTTGTGCAAGTAAACTGTGTTTCTTTTAAAAAGACTTGTGTACTTACCCAGGCTCAGGGATATTAAAATTCTAGTCCATAAAGTCCATATCTTAACTAGAGGTAGACATAAAGGCAATATACTATTATGGCAACAACCATCAATTTTCATTTAAGTGTATCATTCACTCTTTCAATCTTTCGAGTAAATTATGAGTGGTTATAACAATGTAGTTTCTGAGTAAGGCACCATCCAGATGTTCTTAATCCTTCTCAAGTGTGTGCCTTGGTCTGTTAACATGTTGTTGTTGTTGTTAAGTGCCATCGAGTTGTAGGTGACTCATAATAACCTTATGAACAAGTGACTTTCATCCTTTCTCCAGGTTTATAGGGTTTCTGGAGGCAAGATATTTACGGAAGTGGATGCAACTCCTGCTTCCAAGCTTGTTTTAATCTGGGAGCTCCACCCAACACCATCCACCATGGATAACCATTGACACATTTGACACATCCGTGTCACAGTGTTCCTTCTGCTTCACAGCAATCACAACTTACCTCTGTATGGCAAGTGGACACACCAGGGCTATCTATACGACCTAAAAGAATGTTTGACCAAAAACAATGAAAAACAAGCCAGCTGACGCTGAGACTCAGGAGAGACTCTCGCCACCCTATGCTGCAGGCCTGGCCAACCATTTCAGTATTTTTCTATTCCGGCACGCCCAAACGCTGGCAAACTCTGGGCCAGAGACCCCTAATTCATCTAGCAAGTCCACTCTGAGGCCGCACGAATCCAACCAGCTGACACAAAAAAGTTCATAATCCCAAGAGTGGAAACAAAACCAGAAAGACAGTTCTGGTGGCCTCAGGGAAAGAAGCTCCCTGCAAGAAATGTGGTTCAAATCTAACAAGCTCCATGTCACATACTTTGGGCATGTGGCCAGAAGGGAACTGTCCTTGGAGAAAGACATCTTGCTTGGCATGGTGGAGGGGCAGTGCAGGAGAGGAAGACCCTGGGTGAAATGGATTGATACAGTAGCTAAGACACTGGGCGTAGATGCGTTGACGTCAGTGAGATGGACTCAGGACATTGCAGGCTTCAGCGCTCTTGTACATAACTTTTATGGTTATGTTTTGGGTTTTTTTTTTTAAGAATCATAATGTTGATAGCACCTAACTTGAAAATGCCTTAGTTTTCTTTTTAATGGATTCTTAACATGTTGATTTAATTTAGTAACCAATTTGCACCAGAATGAATCAATTAACAGTGAAATTCAGCTAATATTTATTTTAAATTATTAGATACCAACCAAAAAGGCTGTGTTGGGTGTACCAGAGTTGATGGGAGAGTTCATTTATAATGGTATATAAGACTCTCTCCAGAGATTTATTCTTGAGAGTTTACTTAAAATTGCAACTTTGGTTAAGTTTATTTGTTCGCCATCGTAGACTGCTAGAGATTCTCCCTTATTTTCTCTATGGTTTGATTTTTTATAGACCTAAACCTTGATAAGAGCTGCCAATTTATTAAATATGAAGACATCTAAAAAGTCTTCAGTATCTTACTCAGATTTGATTGATTGAAACTGCAGCAGGCTTAAGAAATTCTTTGTCTCCAAAGCATCATCTTCTTAAAATATCGGTCTGTGTGTGTGTGTATAAATAAATTTCTTTTCTTTGGCTAAATGCAATTTTTCTGCCACATAAAAACTATATTCTAAGCAAGTTTAAATTAACAATAGTGTATCTTACTTAATAACTTCTAGTTATAAGTTGTTGGGTACCGTCGTGTAAGAACCAACCCATAGCTGACCCTCCAGTGGGTTTTCAGAGGCAATTAATCACAGGAGAGGAGATTGCCCATCCTTCTCCCACAGAACAGCTGGTGGATTCGAGCTACATGCCTTGAGAAACCACAGCTTCTTTCCACAATAATCCCTCCTTATTTTTAATTTGGATAGTCAGTCTCTAATTTTGTCTTCTGAAAAGTCTCCCCTATAACTTGTCTTCAAGTATCTAGAAATTGTTTGAAAAATGCTTGATGCAAAGGGGGGTATGAAATGGATAATAGTTTACTTAGCAAACTGCTAGGAGATATCTAAAAACACAAACTTTATCCCCCCCCCTTTTATTTACTTGGAATTAATGTGTGTCCTTGTAAATGTATATGCTGTTACAGAGGATCTCGATGATTTAAGAATGGAAGGAGTAACTACGCTGGTGCCTTCTGGGAGCAAATTCAACCAAGGCCGTGCTTCTCATACTGCTGAACCTCAGGCCAAGGTCACTCTGAACATCTGCTCAAGGTGTGCAAGGTAAAACAATGGGATGTATGGATTCCGTCATGTAATTCTTGATGGTTAAGAGCTGTGATTTTTATGCAAAGCTTGTCCACTGTATTAACAAGAGCTTTTCCTTGCAGTTATCTTTTGAGCTAACATAGGCAAGGGAGTTACTTGCACAGTTTGTCCTTGTGCCCAATGGTACTCAGTCCAACAATGAATCAAAGAGTTCAGATTGTCTTCACTTCACAGCTTGAGACTGTTTTAAGCCTTTCTGTCTCTGAATTTCATTAGCTGTCTGCCCTTCTGTTCCCTTTCAAAGGAAGATTCAAGGGGCTCTAAAAAGTTCAAAGCCACTTTTTAAAACACCTGCATAAAGGAAGAGTTTGCCCAGGTACAGTTTCAGATCTGATATTATTGGCCTCTTAACCTGCCCCTCATCCTGTTCCCCCTCCTGGAAAGAATTTAATCAGCTTGATGCTTTTCAGTTTGGGCAGCTGGAAGCAATCTTTGCATATACTGCATGTGGCCAAAGAAGTAACTTCAGAGTTACCGCCAAGTCCCAGAGCTGGCCCAGCAGAAACCAGCCAAATAGCCTAGAATTCCTTCTTTTGTAGGAATTAAATCTCATTTGCAAAGAGGCTTTTAAGCCAGTTTAAATGATAAAACAAGTCTTCTAACTCTTGTGTAAATGGTACAGATTAGCAAGAACAATGAACTGGCTGGCCAGTTTTCCCTCCTTTCCCTTCTGTCTGGCTGTTCCATTGTACTGTTTGAGAGGGGATTAACTGCTGGGAAGTAGGAATTGGGGGAAGAAATGTAGGAAAATAAAATCAGTTTATGTAGTTTTATTTCTTTACCCCTTAGGATTGTTTTGTTTTGTCAGAAGCCTAGGAAAAATATTAAGTACACTTCCTAGAAAACCCAGGCAATTTGAGGCCGTTAAGAGAAATACTTGAATAAGACCAATGAAAGCATTGCTTCAGACAAGTCACCACATTTGTGTGAATGGACTTTGTGTGTGATTATGTCTTTGAAGAGACATTCTAATGTTGATGTGATTATGCATAGATAGCATGAGTGTGCAAGACCATCTATGAGAGAGTTATTTGTTGGTTAGGTTTTTTGTTTTGTTTTGCTTTTTTCCCCCCTTACTTTATTGCTGTTGTTGTAGTGTCTTACCAAGTTGATTCCAGCTCGTAACCATCTTCTGGGACAGAGTGGTGGTGTCCCATAGTGTTTCCAAGACTATAATCTTCACAAGAACAGATGGTCAGGAATTTTCTTCTAGGAGGAGCTGGGGGATTTGAACCATCTGTCTTTCAGTTAGTAGCTGAATACTTTACCACTGTGCTATCAGATTTTCACACACACTCACACGCATACACACGAAGGTTGACAGGTAATACTGACTGAATTTGAACCTGTATTGTTTTACTCTCTTCTGATTGATTAGGGAGCTTTGATGGCCTCATGGTAAGGATCTGTACTGCCAACCCAAAAGGGCAGATGGTTTGAATCCACCAGCTTCTCTGTGAGTGAATGACGTGCAGGCTCCTCCCATGTGATTTACAGCCTTTGAAAACTCACTGAAGCATCAGCTGTGAGGCAGTTCTAACTTGATAACCCACAACAGCTACTGACTATGTAGGGAAGCTCTGGTGGCTGAGGGGGAAAGGAAATTTACTGTCACCCTAAAGGCAAGCGGTTTAATCCACCAGTTCCTCTGTGGGACAAAGATGAAGCTTTTGATTCATAGACTCTGGAAACCTGTCTCAGGTTTAGCTATGAGCCAGTTCTGACTCAAGGACAATGAATTGTTTGGATTTTTTATACTGATTGTATTACTCTTTGCACACACACTTGTATGTATGTATATATATTTCGTAGTATATTTGTAAATTTAAGGTTTCCCTGATTATTGATCTTTCTGTATATTTTTTAAAAAATATTGGAATATTATATGTCTGCTTTGTTCACAAAAGGAGATCCTATGAAAATAACAAGTTTTAATAATCAGTGGGAAAAGATCAAGCATGTGCACATGCCTAAATTACTTGCCATTCATCTTCTTACTTATAGTGTTAATTTGCAAATCAAGCAGACTGCTTTTAAGGCTTTCTCTTAACTGTACTTATTTAAGAAATATTCAGCTGATTCACAATTGGTTATATTTACTGTTTTCTGACTAAAAGAAAATCTGTGTAGGAAGGAGAGAATAAAAGAAGTGAAGCTAGAGTATGCCTTAGGAGAAAGGATGGGGAATATTCCTTTCACCTACTTTGGACATATCAGAAGGGGCTAGTCCCTGGAGAAGAACATAATGCTTGGAGGGTTGGCTGAAGAGATGAAGACTGTCAACAAGATGAATTGACTCCGTGACTGAAACAATAGATTTACACACAACAGAGGTTGTGAGGATACCTCAGGATGGTTCACTGTTTCATTTTGTTGTACATAAGGTCACTATGAGTGAGAACCAGCTTGGTGACATCTAATCAACATGACCACAAACATTTGAAATGTTCTAGATATAGACCATTTAGTTCTCAAAACTCTTTGAGAATTAGTTACTGTTATGTTGTTGTTGTTTGTCAGCTGCTATCTATTTGATCCTGACTCATGGGGATGCTGTATGTACAGAACGGAAGGAGCATTGATAGTCATAGAATGTTACATGTTGGCTGTTAACTAAAAAAAAAAGAAAGAAGTCAATATCATTCAAATCCATGAGCTGCTCCACAGGAGAAAGAAGAGCAATCTCATCCCATGAGGTTCATAATTTGGAATCCTGGTTAAGGGTTGTTATGAGTTAGAATTGGCTTGACAACCTAGGCTTGGATTTTTAAATATTTTATAATAGAAAGTAAGCATGATTGATCTTTCTTTTGAAGAGAAACCACACATTGCTTTCTTAAGTCTGTGTACAAATATCCCTAAGCAGATTGTCTGGACAAAGGGCAATCCGAGCTTCTGCTCATAGTATATACAGAGACATGGGAGTCCCATTGAACATTGTTTCCAATACGAATTATGATGAATTACTTTTCTAAGCATTGGTGTGGTTAAAAGAATTTGACAATGAATTCTCAAACACCGATTAAGATAGCTATCTCTCATCTCTTTTCTAGTTACAAATAATGCATCTGAGATGGTGGGGATTACAATTTTTAAATCACGTAGGAGTGGTTATCTCCCGCAGATGTCCATAGATGATTATGGATAGTGCTGAGGTGTTTTGTGTTTCCAGTGGATATTACTGTGTACAAAAGTGAGATTTCTAGCTAACTTCGCCTAACAATCAGAAAGAGGTGACACACTCAACCTACATTCCCACATGCCCAGTAGAAGTTTCCCCTTCCAAACCTTTAGACCTAGCAGTTACACTCTGATTCCACTCAATATTACCAGCTTCCCTTACGTTCCCTATTTGAAGCCTGTGGGCATCTGTCTTTTATTTCTGATTTGTAGATGTACTGAATCTTCAAAGATAAACTATACATCAGATCTGGACTAATACAGCCTGAGGAATAGGTGACTCACTGAATAAGAATCTAGCCCAGAAGAGGCGGACAGGATCCCAAGACCTGAGCAGAGTTTGAAGACAGGTAGACTGCAACCCTGGAATGATCAGGCAATTCCTCAGTAATTAGATAGAAAAATCAGAAGTCTCATTCTGCAGACCCAAACAATATACAGATTGTTCACTTGAACACGACAGTCATTCCCAGGACTGATGTCCTAGGCTCCAGTACCCAACTTGAATGAGACTTGTGCAAGGCTTCTTAGAAGAAAGCTAGAGCCTTTTGCCTATAGTGCGACTGGTGTTCAAACCGCCACCCTTTAGGTGACCAAGCAAAGGTAAAATGATCTGTTATCCAGGGACTTCAATATCAGTATAGAACTGTGTTCTTATAATTGGTGCCATTATTCTGTATAAAGAAGATTTCTAATACACTCATGGAACTCTTTGACTTGACTTTTAGAAGATTCCACTAATAGAGTTATATGTCCTTGACTGCTATGTGCAAAACCTTTTATAGTCACATTAAGGTATTTCAGCTAAAATATAGTGTCCTTTAAGTCCATAGTGAAAATGGTAAGTAGTTAAAAGTAGAACAGGCTTAAAAAATAATGGTTTGCAAAATTGCATGTTTCATTATTACATTTGTCTTTTAAATATCTTAACTTCTGTTTTGTGGTAACAGTTACTTTAGCAATAGTGGGCACACAAATGCTGATACCAAGGCACCAAATTACAATTTCAGTGAAGTTTATAAGCCCTTTCTTTCTGGAAAGACTCACTATTAATTCTGCCTAGCTACTGCCATTCTTAAGTATTAAACCTCTCTTTTGTGGACTCCTGCCAGAGCATTCTGGGTGGCAAGATGCTATTTGTGTGTTAATGGTACAAGTGTTTGCACTCATTCATGCTTAACATCAAAAGTGCACACAGAAAAAGAAGCTGAAGGCGATTGTTGAAGAAATTGGATTATTGAGAACATACAGTTAATACAGGCCTGAAAACTACAGCATGAGAATGTGAGATACTTGCTTCCAAACGACCTCCTAATTTAGAACTGAGTTGAGCAATGATGTTCTACCAAAAATTATTCCCTCTTTCTCCTAAATATCATGACATTCAGAAATTTGAGTTTATTTTGATAAAACAGAAGTAGATCACCAATGGTGATAACATGCTGAAAGATGAATGCCAAACCTTCTAAAATGTGAGCTAATTTTATCTCTATTATAATTTATTATGTTGATTCTGAAAGCCGGCATTCTGCATTCTATTCTATCTTACCATGATTTTTCTTTCACATCCAACCATATTTCAAAAAAATTTATTGGTTTACATGCAATTATTCATATACATTGTGGTATATTTATATATAATCGTTCATATATGTTGCATTTTATATAATACATTACTAATTGATCTAGGCCTAGTATAACCCTCCCTTCTCAGATCCCCATTGAATCTTTCCTATTCCACTCCCCCACCCACCAGCCAACTAACCTCTGCTATC